TATGCGTAGCAGTACTACTCACGATTGGAGAAGGAATCGGCGCGATATGCAAAGCATACAAGAAGGGGAGAAAGAAGAGGTGAGACGCCAGTGATGACGAAGCAGAGACTTTAGCGCAGACGAGAGCAGGGCAGACCCGGGGACGGGGGAGTCGGAGCAGACGGCATCGGCCGCCGAGGGAGGACGTTGCTCGTTGGGAAGAGGCACGAGGAGGGCGGCGACCTCAACCGACTATGGAGGACCAGTCGCCAGACGACGCAGGGCAGAAGACGGTGAGGCGGAGCAGACGCGCAGGGCGAGACGAGGGAGGAGCAGGACTTTGCGGAGATCAGCAGGAGGATGTGCGAGAGATTAGGAGCAGTAGGGACCCGAGGGACCATGTGGAAGACGGCTAGTGCTAGTCCCCCATCGGGAGGACGACCCCGGCTAGTCGCCGACCACACGAGTGCGGGTGGGCAGGCCCTAAAACGGCGGGAGGGGTAGGGGTGCTGCTGTAGGGGTGTGGAGGGGTCGGGAGGGCGGGAGTGCGGACCGTGACCTAAAGCCCTCCACCGATAGAGGTGTCAGGCGGCAGGGCCCAGGAGGGGTGGGGGCTGGGAGGGCTGGCCAAAAGCGAGGCGTAGGAGGGCTCATGAGGGCTTGGGAGAGGTGGAGAGCTCGGAGGGGTCGGAGGGCTCGGAGGGCAGAGAGGCACGAGGGTGGCGCTGGTGGGCTCGGGAGGGCTCTGGAGGGCTCACAAGGGATGGAGTGCCCGGAGGGCTCGGAGGGGCGAGCCGCCGAGCCGGGCTCGGGGGGCTCGGAGGGCTCGGAGGGCTCGGAGGGCTCGGAGGGCTCGGAGGGCTCGGAGGGCTCGGAGGGCTCGGAGGGCTCGGAGGGCTGGAGGGCTCCAGTAGGGCTCGGAGGGGTCTGGAGGGCTCGGAAGCTCGAGCCCTCCGAGCCCTCCAAGCCCTCGGATGGAGTGCTCGGAGGGGTCGGAGGCGAGCTGCCGAGCCGGGGTCGGGGGGCTTGGAGGGCTCGGAGGGGTCGGAGGGGTCGGAGGGCTCGGAGGGGTCGGAGGGCTCTGAGGGCTCTTGGACCGACCCGTCCGAGCC